TTTTTCAGCTGATTCCGTTCACACACAGATTCTATGCAGCGGATGCAGAACTGATTCGACCCTTTAATCCAAAGCACGTTAGAATAAATTGGATTTAAGCTTCAAGTGAGAGCGAGAACGTCGTTGAGTTCATAAAAGGAAGTTGTGTTGAGTCAATCTGGAATTCCAAAACAGGATTTCAATGAGTTCTTCATCAGCTGGTGAGAGAATAATAAGAGGAAGTCATTCAGTCTCCAGCAGCATGTGGAACATTTGGCAGAATCTTTAGGAAGAAAATGTGAAAATGTGATACGGGATTTATTGACTGATGCATTCAATCGTGTTCACTTGTCATCACTTTAGAGTTTGTGGGCATCAGAGTAACAGAATATCAGAGAATCAGTCAGTAAGAGCTGCTGGGATGTGATCAGATGAACAATGTGAGTGTTGGTGAGAAGAGTTTCTAACATTCAGTGTAAAGTCAGAGGTGAGACTGTGACGGTGGTTTGTTTCCCATCCATTCCCCGATTGCTTTTAGCCACACGTGATATCATAAATGTGCAAAGTATGAAGGTTACAACAATTGAGAAAAGCTGGAATTAACATAAAAAAATATTTTTCCAAATGCAGTTAATGAGACGTATAGAACAATGTGGTTTTGATGAAATATCTCATTTTACATGGTGTAGTTCTTTGTTTTAAAGACAGCATGACTGTCTGACTTTGTGGTTAAGAAGATAAAGACGAGACCAGATGAGTGGAAATAATTAAAAATAAAAAAAGTGACAAATATGGAAGAAAACAATTTTAATGTCTACTTCTGTGAGACTAACAAACAAGCAGTTGTGTATTCTCCTTAATTATAAAAAATAAATGCCAAAGGAGCATTATCACCTTAAAACTGAATCCTAACTAACTTAAATTATTGCACCACATTTCTAAAAAACAGCTTGATATGCTGTAAAGTAGACGTTTGGAACGCGGCTGCCTCAGAGTCGGTTTCCTGTAAGGACGGCCTTTGGACCAGTCTCACTTTAAACTCTCCTCGCTCTTCTTCCTGCTCTCAAACTGAGGGATTTGCTTATTTTCTGCCCTCAGCAGATGTAGTCAGCATCAGGCTCATCCAGACCATATGAGCAAGTAGACAAAGAGGAGAAGAGCCGAGTGCTGCTGGAATCTGAGCACAGAATAGTTTCAGCCGCTGGTGATCATTGAGGAGGAATAGTTCAGCCTGTGTGGATGAAGCAGCTCAACATCCTGCAGCTGAGTTCACAGATGACCTGAGTGAGAAGTGGATGAAGGTTTTACAGTCGGTGGATGTTTTACTGACCCAATGACAGAAAACCAGAGAGGAGTTCTTCAGCTTTCTTACACAGAGCACCAGTTTCTGATGTTATTGAGGGGAGCCCACATGTTCTGTCCTTCTGCAGCAGGACTCTCCTCCACAGGCCAGATGAACACTTGAGACGCTGCACCTCGTCTGAAAAGTGTGAAAAAACATCAGTCAATATATTTTCTTTTTTTCATGAGGACAGTCAAGCTCAAACCTAATTCCATAAAACAGCGACTACAGCAGCAAGCTGCTAGTCAACAAACTGCTTCCTGCTTGTAGTGCTGCGCTCTAATTGGCTCCTGCAGCTGCTGAATGTGAGTTTGTGTCACAGGTTTGAGGTCTCGTTAATTTTGCTCTGCATCATATATTCGTTTATCCCGCAGAAGGCCAAACGAGGAGGCAGAGATGACTGAATGACCAGAGTGTGTTCCATTTAGTTAGAATTGTTCATTTGAACAGTGAAGTTGTCCCTTAATAAGCTGCTGTTAGTCTGCTGAGCCACAAGAGGGAGACAGAGACCTGCACTACGTCCCACCAGGTGCCTCCAAACATTTCATCCACTTTCATCACCCAAACTTTCCTTTGAACGACGGCACCTTGACCACAGACCAGTTCAGCCTTTCATGCCTGCAGCCGCTCAGCAGAGAACGTCTTTGTGTGTCTTTATTCCACTATCTTTCTTTTGAACCTGATTTAGTTCACCTTCTCCTTCTCCTCTGCAAAAGAAAAAAGAACAACAACACAACCCCCCTCCCCAAAACTGCTCCTCTGGTTTAATTCACCAAACAGGCACTCAGCGGGAGAGCTGGAGAAATATTCCGATTTCACAGAGAGGCGACAAGTTTGGAGGCATTTGTCTCAGAAGTGAAATGAATTATGCAAATGAGATGTTTGGCCCCAGCTGTCTGCAGAAGCCATTAAGAGGGACAAAACTCTAAAGACACTGAAGCATCTGCATTTCAGGCCTCTGAAAAGATAACACAGTTTGCTTTCTCCTTTTCTTATAAACACACACAAGCACATATTCTCCTCAGCTTTCTCTCTTATGAAGTCTATGAACGCTGTTTGCTCAGATGTTCAGCGTCCTGCTCCATAGAAGTGTGTGTGGGCAAAAGCAAAAACTAGATATTCATGTTTTTTGCAAGGAATTTTGTGAGCTCCAGTGTGGCTTCACATTCCCCATTATTTCCACTTAGCTAAGCTAAGCTAAGCGAAGCTAAGCTAAGCTGTTACAATCAAATAAATACATTTCCCAAAAAAATGTAATTTAAGCATAAATAATAAATCTGCAGCTTTGCCGATCTTGAATATCTTTTGGGGAGCGACCAGGTCAGAGCCGAGCCACCACATAGTGATGTACAGATTCACATTACGGCCGTAGTGCATTTTATTATTTATTAAATATAATTGTGGAATCTACAAAATGTTGTAAAATAGGCCACAGAAACGTAGACGGATTATATTTCTGCTTTAGATATAAGAAACAATTAACGGATTATCAAAATAATTAATTTTCCCAGTTCACATTCAAACGTTTGTCTGTTTTCTCTTCCACATGAGTCTCTGTTCTCACAGGTCTGAGCAATAATCTACAGTTTAATGATGCAACAGCAGTGATACCAGAAAAAGTAAAAAACATTTCACTTAAAAATCTTAAGAGCAGCTCTTCTACCAGATACAAGGTTCTGATTTCTAACCTTGATGTCAATGCAACAGAACCCAATTCACTCTAGTTTTTTATTTAGTTCATTTGTTTTAATACTTAACTTTATTTCACTCCAGACTTGTTGAATCTTGTTATCATCGGTGCTGAACTGCACTGAGCTGCATGAAAAGTTCCAGTAAAAGTACATGTAGTTTCTCCTACATCTTGCCAAAGGACTACAGCCATAAATTAACCAGTTAGCAAATGCAGACACATTTATAAAAATGTTCATGAATGTGCTGTTTTTGTCATAAATGAATAGAATAAATGAAGTGTTATTAACTGATTCTTCTGAGGCGGGTATTTGTGTTTTCTGTCCAGTCAGCAGGATTCTGTTTTCATGGTGTATGTTCACCATTTTTGAAAATGCTGGGAGTGTTTGAAAAGAAGCAAAATATAATTAAAGAATTAAAGGCACCTCTGTTATATTGGAATGAGGAAAATGAGACAACTTCACAGTATAATTAAACACAATCCCAACTTGCTGGCTTCCCTCAAAGACGGTTGCTACACATCTGATATCTGTGAGCTGATGTTTTATTGTTTTCTCCTGATGCAACCATCACTTTACAGTCTTTTGTTTCGCCCCTTCAGTGCCATGATATATATTTTTAAACTTTAAAAAAATATCCTAAAATTCAGTCAGTAACAGCTTCACAGCTCTGAAATCAAAGTGAATGTGGATAAGAGACACTTGGAGGATTTTGAAACACAACAGTTCTCTGTCCACATCACCAGACCACAGCTGGATGTGAAGCACAGCAGCCATCAGGGACATTTTCACCTGCAAAATCAGGTGAGTGAATAAACGATGAGTCACGATTCTAAAAATTCTCAAGTGCAGTTCCACCAAACATTAAATAAAAATGAACAGCAATGCTGCTTCCTGTTTAATCACAGTGAAACCAAGCAGCTTTTAGGGACAGATACTGGACGGGGAAGAGTGAAGGGTCAGCACCTGGTGATACCTGAGCCTTTAAACCAATCAGGTTGACATATCTAACGCGCTACAAGCTTGTTTTAAATGCTCAGCATATTGTGTTGTGCAGGTGTCGGTGTTTATTGGACCAACTTCTCACTTGTTCTTGCTCTGCTCTTCTTTTTTGAAGAGCTGCAGTAATTGTAGTTGGACTTCAGGTTGTGGAAATTAGATTTGCATAAGTGCTCTTGATAAATCAAGCGCTAAACTGGTGGAAGCCTGCAATGTTTCTGCCCACGGTTGTAATTAGTGCGGCTCTTAGTGAACACGGCCGCCGGGGGCTGTTGAGCACACGGGCGTAATTTAGTCCAAATGTGGGAAAAGGGAACCGAAAAGTGCTCTTCTGAAAAACAAAAGTGAGCTGGAGGATCTCTAAAGCTGCATTCTTTGTTTTTTGACAAGACGCGATGGCTCTTCCCTTTGACCTCGTCAGTCTGATTCTGGAAATGCAGGAAG